GAAGACCTGCAAAGTCGGGTCGAAACGTTGGCTTTCAATAAAGTAGTTTTACCACTATTTAGCCTATTTATGACTGCAATGCCGGACCATCTCCTTCCTTTATAATAACTATCTACATGAAATGGTATTTAAGTGATTCTTGAGGTCCTATTAAATGTCATTACACGAACAATAATACTTTAAGAGATCATGTTTTACCATAAAACATGTTTACATTTAACCATTTTTTGAAGGAGAGGGAAAGAGGCTTCAAACAGAAAGCCTCCTCCCATATATATACGCCTGTGATAAGAAGTGTATAAGAATAAGAAGGTGTGTAAGAAAGTGTAGTAGTGAGTACCTAAGCTTAACAGCTATATTGAATCAATGTTAACATGTAGCATTTAGTATGGGTGGATCTACATGAGGACTTTTGGGCTGAAGCCCCCCCTAAATAGTAAAATATAACCATTTTAAGGAAAAAAATATTAAAAAATTATCTCTTAAAGTATTATTGTTAGTGTAATTACATTTACTTTCTTTTTTTTTCAAAGTAATCATCGTAATTTCTATGAAAAGAAAAGCAAGCTTTAGGGCTTAAGCCCCCCCCCCAAAATTGAATCCTGGATCCACTAGTGGCATTTAGTCTCTCAAGATTAAAATTAAAAATAAAAAATATGTTGTTCCTATTACATTAATTTAACCTACCACTTTTACTTGCACATAAATTATTTTCTGATAAAATTGGACCATTGAAGTCTTTTAAATGCATTTTTAATAGTTCTAAATTTTAATGAGCACATTTATGAATTTTATTCATATTTATTAATACAAAAACTCATTATGACCATCCAAATGACAAAAACCCAATTAAATCTCAAACACTAAGTAGGGTCAGCGCACAAGTGATGGACATCGCTAAGAACATTTTTTTTTTTTACTAATGCTGCCATAATTATTGTAGTTATAAACTTACCCAGTGGACATTTAGAATCTCTAGGGTCTCGTGTTTCTAATTAACACTTAAAAATTGAAAACATATTCAGTTATGTAGATATAATAGGCATTTTCTTTTGGGAACTTTTTTCATACAGTTGCCAATAGAGGCCATTGGTCTTCAATCTGGAACCTTTAAATCAACAAGGAAGTTTATTATTTACATTTAAAGTCCAACCTGCCCATCACTGGTGTGTTCACTATAGTGCTTTCAGAGATTATTTATTGTAAGCATTCAAATTAATAACTGAATTGATTTTCTAAAATATGGTAATGACAAGGTATGAGAAAAAATAAAAGATATTTCTTGGATACAAATTTTGAAGCTGGAAACACTATTCTAAGCTAAAATTTATAAGATAGCCAATGGTATGAGCTAGTCGCTGGCAGCCTCAGACATAGGCATGCCTCTATTCTCATGACATTGTTCCATCCCCACCACTTTTATTTAACACTAATCTCATAATAAAAAAAAATGAAAATTCATACAAGCACCCAATTGCATAGTAAGTCAGTGTGATACATACTACAGTTATTCATATCAAAATGATTAATATTTTCCAAAAATTAAATTTCATAAGATACAAATAAATTGCCATCACGATCATCTAGACAGATCTGTTCAAGAAAGGATATATAAATAAAAATAAATAAACTCTGTTTTTAAATATAACATTTATCACAGATACATGCACATCCAAAATATAGTAGGAATTATATAATATTAAATTAAAAGTATTATTCTAATAACACTTAGAATTAGGTTTGGACGATATGAAGTTAAATGCATAGTATAGACAATAACTATATGTAAGTGTGTATATATATCTACATACAAAAGGTCAATAAATCTAATTTGTGAATAATATGTCTTACAATTTATTAATCTTATTTAATGCATTGGTTTTACACATTAATGTGTATATTTTTTCTCTTAAACAAAAAACATTATAATATACACAATATATTCTTCAATATATAATTTAAATTCAATAAACTGTATTTTTAATTTTTTTTCTGTTATACAATTTATATCAAAGAATAATTTAACCTCTATTAAACTAAAATATGATCATATATACATTAATTAGTTGTGATATGCAGAATTTAAATTACACAATCATTGTATAAAATGAAAATCATAAAATAAATATTAAGTATGATAAATAAGAACTAGTTCTAGTAAAGTTTTGGGTGTTTATTCATTTTATTAAATAATAACAAATTATATTTCTAAGCATCTATTTGAGGAATAATATTTATTACAATTTATTAAAATTATTGTTCACTCAAAAAGTAACAGAAGAAAATCTATATTAATACAATCTCCCTTTATTAACTTACTGATAATTTGATTAATCTGTAAAGATATAAAATATAAGATATCATCGGCTAATGATCAAAAAAGCCACTAGGTGACATTTCATAATGAAATAAACATACATAATGACTTTTTTCAATAAACTAACTGTGTAGACCATAGGTGGGGAACCGCAGCTTTGGAAGCAGCTTGTGGCTTCTATGATATAGCCGCAGCCTCCAAACGTTTTGCCCCATATTTATTAATCTAGTGCTAAAGTTAATTAATATTTAATTATTTAAGTAACGACGATTTGGAAATTAATAGAATTAAGTTGAATGTATGTATGTGAGTATGTGTTTTTTCTGATAAATAAAAATAGTAAAGCGGCCTCTAACAATAAAAAGGTTTCCCACTTACGGTATAGACAATACAAGATTTAGATTTCACTTTTAACAAGAAAAAGAAAAATTGTCAACAGTGAAAATAATGAAAAAGCTTTTAATACAACTGTTATTAAATAAAAAAGAGATGAAAAATCAACATCTTGTCTCACTAGATGGATTACTGTGAAATTCAAATTAAGTTAAACAATGAAATACTTCACATAATCATGATTTATCTTTGTAATCTTTGATATTGTTGTTTGTAGATTAACAATTAGAAAACAAACGAAAAACTCTGTACAATTATTTCAGTGAATTATTAAAAATCAATTATTTATTTATATTGAAATAATAAAATACAACAAGAAAAAAAACAACTAAAATGGGAAAGTAGGATAGCCAAATGTGCTTGCAATAGGTAATCGAAGTTAAGCAATATAAAGTGAGGTAAGTACGTACTTGAATAAATGACTGTCCACTGAAAAAAAACTCTCCCAAGTATGTTAAATCTATAAGTTTGCAGAAGGTAACTCACACCAATTTAGTAATTACCGGTGTACCAAGTGTACTTTAATTAGAAACCGTGATTGGTTTTTCACGATGTCAGTAACCCCAAAGACCTGGTCCGCAGAAGATCTGTTTCAGTTCCTCGTACATCTGCTGATTCTGAGTAACCATAATCTATGGATCCAGAACAATTTGTTTCTGAATTCGAGTGATTTGGTGGGAAGGAAATGTCAGATTGCCCCACGGGCTATGAAGCTATGGGTGGCGTATTTTTGCATTATGGTCCATACAATGGAACAATATAATACTTTGAACACAATATGATACTATATTATTATGAAAAATATTTAACTATAATTAGAATTAAAACAACTTATTAATTAAAGATTATCAAAAAATAAAATAAACTTAATAGTTATCTGTTAGGCCTCCTCTCTGAAGCACTCTCCAATATGAACTAACTAAATAAAAAAATACGTATTCATCATATCAAAAAAAAATAACTAATTTACATTACTTACAAAGAATCTATAAAATATATATAAATAAAGAAAAATACTTAAAATATCTGCCATTTTGAACAATATAATACCTGAATGATCATCATGGTACTATAATATTATTAGGAAAATTATAATTATAATCAGATTTAAAATAACTTATTGATTAGAGATTATGGATAGTTTTAATAAAAATAAAATAAACTCAATATTTATCTGTTTAGCTTTTCAAAAACATACCCTAATATGACACTTATATATATAATTCAAGAGAGAACTACAATAATATTGCATGGCTGCTCAACTGTGTTGAGTTATTAAATCACACAGCATACTCAATCAATCAACAGATAATAAAGATATAAAAAAAAACAAGAGAGAGAGTTAGGCAGGACCACTGCAACAGCTAGTATATGCCAAAAACATTATACAGAATCGAATAAGCGAAAGCCATGATCAATCTATACATGTGGTGATAAAGGATTCCCGAGTCTCCACAAGAAATTACTTGTAGTAAGAAGGATGGTTCCCCTGCTTGCGATCCATAGCCCTTTAACTAAGAATTCTCTTTCTCTAAATTCATCTTATACTTCTCATTTAAGTAAGATATGCATTTCTTATAGATATCCTCCTTCTCTTCCCGCACTCTGGAGTCTTGATCCTGATAGTTCGTTTCAAATCTGATCGTAGGATCCACTATTAGTGCCTCCTTTTCCGTTGCATAGAACGCTAAGTTGAGATTCCATCGAGAAAACATCTATATTTCTTTATTTCGAGAAACGTGATGCTATTTTTGGATAATTGTTGAAATATTTAACTTTCACATTGCTACCTTGGTCAAACAAAGTTTTCAAACAGAACTAACATTTTTGGCTAGTTTTTTCACCTTTAACCTTTACACTATCAGTTTGTTCATTCATATTTATGCCAATAATTCCATATATCATAGCCCTTTATGAAGACCTACAAATGGGTCGAAATGTCAGCATTTTTTTCCGGACCGACCTCTTGTTATAGTACCATTTAAACTCGTGTTTTTAAGTAAAAGACAAATCTATTCCAAATTTGACCATTGGTGGGATTTTAATAAAGCCAAAAGCATATTTCAATTATTTAAATAAATTTAAAGATATAATTATATTACACATAATCATGTTATGTAACCAGGTAATAAAAATAATTGAATTTAATAAAATAAAAATAATAATTACATTTATTAGTTGTATTAGAAAGAAAAATGAATATTATACAGGGCATACAATTTATTTTTTTTTACATTTTTTCTTTATTTTTTTAAATATTTTATTTTTATATAAATACACCAGGAATACATTTTAGGGTAGCTGTTATATTTATATTTTTAGAACTCTTGAAAAAAATAAAGCATTATTAAAAAAATATAATTAATGAATAATCAAAATTAATATGTGAGTTGATCTACTTTGTAACTATAAGTATCACTAATAATATAAATATTACTAATATTAAAAAAGGCAGTGAATTAAAAATACTTATTATTATATCCGTAAAATAATTGTGATAAACCACGTACTAAGAAGTAAAATATAAACAAAAAGAGTAAACAAGAAAGATTTTATATAAATATATTACTCATCAAACTGTTCCACTAGCAGTTAATAATATTTTCTCATATAAATTTCTTAATATTGCACCAAACTTCCTGAAAATAAAATCATATCTGAAAAAAATAAACATACATTACTACCTAAGATCTAGATAGATATTGTGGATAAAACATTTATCCATTAAAATAAATAAATTCAATCACTTCTTTTAAAAAATAAACTAAAAAAATATACACTACTAAGTTAATGCCGAAATGAATTTTTGTGCTAGCTCGATGTGATATATTACTAAAAATAACTGAATAGGCAAGATAAATTAATTTCACAAGGAACCTCAGTAGAAAAGGTAGTTGGTAGAAAATTACGAAGTCTTTTCAAGCGGGCAGACGTCCAGGATACAGAAAACACTGCGGCAGAGAGGGCAAGTACAAGTTGATCCAAGCCATGTTTCGGGCTGATCTTGCTCTTGTCTTGAAGCGAACCTAAAACAAGACTGACAATGAAATATATTGTAAAGGTAAATGTTAAGCTAGAATTTAAATTAATAAAATAAGCAATTTTAGATACATTTTAGTCATAAAGGGATGGTTTGGTGTAAAGTATATTGATATTTTAAAATAAAACAAAAATACTACAGAAATTGGGAAATTCTGTCGATCATTAGAGAATGTTCTTCCATATTTACTTAAACATCTTGATAGATAGAGAAAGTGATGTTTATGAATGTTTCAACTTGATGTAGTAGTCAGATGTTTTACACACACCGAACGAAACTCAAGACTTTCAGATGTTGACATATACTGGAACATAAGATGAAATGTAGCCAAGATGGGCAGTGGAAGGCACTCAACTACTTCATCATGTTTAAATATTAGTATAAGTTAATTTTCCTAACAATCCACCAAGGTATTTATGTAGATTTGGACATTCTCGATTTCTGTTGTCAGGTTTTTTTTTTCAATTTTTTTTTTTTTTTTTTTTTTTTTTAGTCTTTTTAGTTTTTAAGTATTGACAATTTCTATTCAACACATATCATCGACATCATGTTAAAGTAAAGAATATGCAACATTTGGCAGATTAACATTTGTTACTTTAAAATGGTGCCGACGATATGATCAACATCTTAAACATGATATGAAATCAATATAAATTTTAGAAAATTTAATATATAAAAAAATACTTTTTCAGTATTTTGAGCTCAAATTGTTTCAAAATATTCACAGAATAATTTGCACCATCAAACTTAGAAATCAAATCAGCCATTCAATCAAAAAATCTTTATATATCTTTCAGCTGATAACCTAAACACATAACCATTTCTGTGGCTTCGCTAAAGTTAGATTCTTATGTTTAGAACAGATTTAAATGATTATTCTTTAATTTTTCACAGAATTTTATTAGCTTTAAAATAAGTACACATAATTTCCTAGGAGACATAGCTTTGGAGTTACTTGAAGAAAATTTTTTTGCAGTATAAATATCCATCATGATTTATATATGTAACTATTTATTGTTTTTAATTTTTAAAAATTCTTTTATTATATATATTTTATTGAATTTACAGGACAAGTTTTTATTTTTTTTAGGTTTAAATTAATTAGATTTTTTTCCCATTTTACAAAATATTATAGCTGATTTTAATTCAGAGGCTGCAATTCTAACAAAATATTAGTTAATCTTTCTGTGTATTAATATTATAAATTTAACAAAAACAATGAATGCTCCATGTTTAAGGTGTTCTGTACACATATACAATATATTACACATTTTGGATTATTACTGCACGATTTTACACATTTTAAGTTTCTTACTAAGTACAACATCACTTACAAAAAATAAACGATTGGTGTAAACTATGGAAAACTCAAATAAATTATCAAAAGCCACAACATATCACATTTACTCTAAGACAAGAAACATGCCCTGCTGTGTACTTAGACAACATACCGATTCCACAAACAGATAGAGTACAATACCTAGGCCTGACGTTTGACAGAAGAATGACATGGGGTCCACATGTAAAGAAAAAACGTGCATCATTAAATCACAGATTAAAACTGTTGCACTCATTATTAAGACGACATTCTAAATTAAAAGCAAGACAGAAATTAAATATTTATACATATTTATTGAAACCTCTCTGGACTTACGGACTACAAATATATGGAATTGCAAAACCAAAACATATAAAACGACTTCAAACTTTTCAGTCTAAGATACTACGACTAATTACCCAAGCACCCTGGTACGTGAATAATAACACTTTACACACTGACTTACACATGACAACGATCAATGAACACATACGAACTTACTACAAATAATTTCATAATAAATTAAATGGACACTCCAACCAGCTAATTAAAGAAATGGCCACTACTATTATGCCGGAGACCTCAGGGAGATGACTGAAAAGGGTCTGGATGAGGGACCTACATACATAATTGTATGTAAGTAAAAGCCATGGAAGGGATACTGCTGGGTATTGCTTTTCCTCATGCCTATCAAGCCTTTTTTTTTTATATCTTATGATTGTGCCAGCTCATCTGCTGATTGTCGATGGTTGTAATTGACAGGTGCGGATTAATAAATAAAAGTGCTAAAAAAAAAAAAAGTTTCTTACTAAGTGAAAATCCGATCTATTAAAATCCAATGATTATTATTTATTATTTAAAATAGGCTTATGATGAATCACTATCGGATTGTTTTTTTCTTATTTACCCATTCTTAAACATGAAAATTTGTTAAACTGCACAATTATTCCAACAGCCTTTTAAAAAAACCAATACTCACCACCTGCCCATACAGCTGAGACACCACAACGGCCGACAGTAGCATTTTGTGCACGGCTCGGGATCTTGACAGCACTTGACCAGCTTGACCGATGGTTCCGCCACCATGCACCCGATGCATTGATCCAACTGTTCCTATAAATTTGTCACTGCACGTTATAAATATAAAAAATAAATAAAGTTATATAACAAGAGTAGTTCCAGTTTAATCAAAATTTTCTTCAATAACTTCAATACAACATTATTTTATTTTATTTTTTGTTTCTTATTGTCACAATTGCTTTCTCATACAATTAATTTAATGCCCCTTCCTAATTGTATTTACCTATTTATTGTTATTTTATATCTCGTATGCCGGGATAATGCAATATCGTGATACCGTTGCTCATCCTGTCATTAATATATCTTTAATCTACGTATATATTTTGTATGTTTTAGCTGTTTGATTTTTAACGTAACAAGTCAATATTTTTTATTTATGCACTTTTGATATTTTTTTCTTTTCTGTTGGTTTCACGTTTTTTTTTCTGTACATGTAATGATTTTTTTTTTTCCTTTTCTTTTTGTTATTTTTTTCAGTACAATTATAAGAAGTATAGTTGAGAAGATTTTATTTTATTTTTTAATTGTTTACTTACTATTATTTAAGTTGTAGTATATATTGTTTGAATCTTTATTAGGTTAGTTATTGGCCAGATATGTATTTTTTCATTGTCCCAGAATAAAGTTTATTTTCTATTCTATTCTATACTACTGCATGTATTAAAGTAATGTATTCTTATGTATTTAAGTAATAATTTAATAGAATTTACATTATAAGTACATAACTATAATATTATATAAAAGGGTAGACCTTTTTTAGTTTGTAACCGCTGATTGGATTAGAGTCTAGGGAGCACAATATTTTTGAGGAGCAATCATCAGGCCTATGATGAAGCTTATTCAACAGTTCCCACCCTAACGTTGAAGTGGAATAGGTTGGCTAACTTACAGTAATTAAATTCATTTGTGCTTGTTTAAGGTGAAAATTTTTGAATATTATAAATTAATGCTCTGTTTATTTTTTCACCATATTTATTTTAATTTTCATAGCTACGTTTCGGCCGGTAAGCCATCCTCAAGCCATTTTATTCAACCTAAAATGGCTTGAGGATGGCTTACCGGCCGAAACGTAGCTATGAAAATTGAAATAATTATGATGAAAAAATAAACAGAGCCTTATTTTATAATAGTAATTAAATTCAATAGAAATAGAATGGATTTTTTTTTTCAAAATGAAGGAATAGATTTATACTACTATTTTCTCAGCAATATGATAATTTCTTGTGGTTCTTAGTAAATATTAATCAACAAGCAGACATTAAAAAAATTTCAAATTTTTTTAGTTCCACTTTTTTAATAAATAAATGTCTTATTAAAGTATCGAGTTTCTAAAAAAAATAAGTGAATGATCATACTTTAATTTTGCTATTTCAAAAAATATCTTCAAAAGATTGATTTAAATACTACTTTTGTCTCATAGATTCATTGGGATTAGTTTGTTCAAGTAAACAAAATTGTATTAAAAATAAAAAACTCTAGTTAGAATTTTCAGAAGGTAACACAGAAGTCCTATTCTTATGAAATAAATTGGTGTTTAGACAAATTAGAAACTAATTACTTAAACCATATGGAGAAAACTTGAATACTATAATTAAATTGAATATAAATAATTTAACTTACATCTTTAGGCAATATATAAGGAGGATTTTTTTTAACATTTTCTTCAAAAACTTCTAAAAACTGCTCAGTCAAAGTCTTATAGAAAACTATGCCTTGCAATATAGAAATAGGCCGATCAACTTTGTGTTGCAGAAGGTGAAAATCTGTTGCGTTACACCTGTAATAATCATAAAAAGAAAATAAATTAATCTATTATAATTAAATATTGTATCATTAATTTTTAAGATGTGTAGATTTCTGAAATAAATAGATTTTTATTTTTATTTACCTGATAAAGAATGACTTAACACCACGCCTTGTTGTCTTGACTTCTATGTTTAAATATTGTACAACACCTTGTCCGTCAACTGATACATGATGGAGGTCAGCTTGACAAAGCACTAAGACAGAATCACTCTGATGTGCTATATCGAGGCGATATGGCGATACTTTCATAATCCAATTATCTGTAGCTATTACACGATGTATAGTACTTGTCTGTAGGGAAACTTTATCTATGCTGAAATATAAATGCAAACAATTACAGATGAATACAAATTACACACTTTCCAAGTTGAATAAAACTACTTATTTATGATTCCTATTGGATAATTTATGGCATAAATCAACAGCAACTAAACATGCCACCTCTCTACTAAACAGTTAGTTTAAAAAATAATATATAATAATAAATAATAATAAAAGACTTAACAAAGCCAAAGGTTCGATTCTGACACCACCAATCGCTTATTACACACTTCCCTCCACCAATCCCAGTTCCGTCAGATCAATCTTAATGCAATCCTCCCACCTTCCCTTTGTTATACATCTCTGACGTTTACTAGTCACAACCCATATTGATCTCTTAGGGATTCTTTCATTACTAAGCCTAACAATTTTACGTGCCTATTTTATACGCTTCAATGTAATCACATCGATTATATTAACCTGATACATTTCACACAATGCGGCGTAGTGTAACTGTCTAAATTATCCGGTGCTCATCTCTTAATGTAAGCGGCCACATTTCATATCCATAAAGAACCGTAGATAGTAGAACCGTATAATGGTTTTGTAAATAATAATGTTTAGGCTTTGGGACAATAGGCATGAGCTAAGTAGTTTTAAAATACTTCATACAACTTTCTTTTTTTTTTTTTAATACTATACAAAAAATAATTTAAATAAATTGATAATAAATATTTGGATGGCTTTTAGCTGAAACAAAATATGTATAAGAGGTAGTTTAGGATAGGATTGTAAATATCAAAATTTTCCAAATATAAAAATTGTAGTTCAATATAAAACTTTATTATATCTGCAACATGGTACTAAGTATTCAATGTTAATTTTACATATTTTTGAAACGTTTTCTTTTGAATATTTACCTTAATATGTAATCTTTCTATTTTTCTTAACATTAAAAATTCCATATGAGAACTCTTAAAGTATTATTTTTTTTAATTCAAAGATTAACTTAAACTGACTTATTTTTACATGGGCTTTTTGAGTAATAAACTACACAAATTGCAAATGAATTACAAATGAAAAGAAAAAAAAAATATAGACATTTAAACTTTCAAATATGTTTTTGTGAATTTCGACCAAAAAATACAGTAATTACATTTCTAAAAAAATAGTTACACTCACCAGAAAAAAAAATTCATTAATGTACTTAGTGACTTAATATTATGAAACATTACTAAATAAAATATTGCAATAAATCAACAATGGTTCATTCTTTATTCTTCAATAAATCCAATCACAGTCAACATTTAAAGTTAATTATCCTTACTTTTGTAACCATATTATTCTCATCAAAACATCGAAAAGATGATTTTAATTATTTAAGTACAACAATAAGAAAACATGAGCTAATTATGATAAAAATGCATCTACAACAGTTTATGTCTGTGAGGTACAATTATTTCAAACAATTTAAGTAGCTAATAAAACATTTCATTATCTGCTTCATTTAATGATTTATTAAATTAAAATGTAAAAAAATTATACTTTATATGATTATAATTACAACAATTTTCAATAGGAAGATTCGATACACCAAGTAATGATTCAATGTTTTACATAATTTCATAAAGTAGGGTGAACGGACCAGTTATTGACAGGGGACCCAGCAATGGACAGTTTCGAATTTAAATGTAAACAATAAGCTTCCTTGTTGATTTGAAGGTCCCGGTTTTTTTTTCTAGATTGAAGAACAATGCCCTGTATTGAAAATTGTATGAACAAAGTTTCCAAATAAAAATTTTAAAATGCCTATCATTGTTATTTCTATAGTGCTCTGGAAATCATTGTGATTCGTGTCTTCCTACTAACAGTTTCAGTATGATTAAGTTTATGTTGTCTTATTTTTATCGTTTTCTTTATAGTTGGATAAAGATTTTAGAATTTTTTTGAGGAATGTCTATTACTGATATAAACCACTGTCCATTACTAGAACAATAGAATTTCGGGGTGTCCATCACTAGTGCAAAAAGTTTTTTTTTTAAATTGAGATTATACCTGCATAACTGAACATCTGTCTAGATGATCATGATGGCAATTTATTTGTATCTTATGAAATTTAATTTTTTTGGAAATATTAATAATTTTGATATGAGTAACTGTAGTGTGTATCAGTGGCTTCCCAATTGAGTGACTGTATGAATTTTCAATTTTTTTTTTGTTTATGAGATAATTAGTGTTGAATAAAAGTGGTGGGGATAGAGCGATGTCATGAGAATAGAGACATGTGTATGTCTGGGGCCGCCAGCAACTAGTTCATACCATTGGCTATCTTATAATGTTAAGCTTAGAATAGTGTTTCCAGCTTCAAAACTTGTATCCAAGAAACATCTTTTATTATTTTCTCTCACCCTATCATTAGGTAATATTTTAGAAAATCAATTCAGTTATTAATTTGATTGTTTACAATAAATAATCTGTGAAATCATTAGAGTGATCACACCAGTTATGGGCAGATTGGACTTTAAATGTAAATAATAAACTTCCTTGTTGATTTAAAGGTTACAGTTTTTTCTAGATTGAAGACCAATGGCCTCTATTGACAGCTGTATGAAAAATGTTCCCAAAAGAAAATTTTAAAATGCCTGTTATACTTGCATAACTGAATATTTTTTCAATTTTAAAGCGTTAAATAGAACAAGAGGACTAGAGATTCTAAATGTCTAATTGAGAAGTTTATAACTATAATAATTACGGCGAAATAAGCCAAAAACACAAAATTTCCATAGCTATGTCCCATCACTGGTGCGCTTAACGTAATATTAATCACATAATTATGTGCACAGGTTTAAAAATTGCATCGGGACTAGAATGCAGCGTTAACACAATCCTTTTTTAACGTTTGAACGTATTTGGTCAAAATTAATTATGAATTATGTATAATTTTATTTGTTTAGAAAATTACTCTTATAATTTGTGACCTGACTCTACGAACTTATTAAAATTAATCTATAATAAACAGTGAAAAAAAATTAATTAATTAATGATTCGTCTAGAGTTTAAATGAATTACTAACCTCCTGAACTCAATATTTATATCCGATGAGAGTTGCCTCCAACTAGTATTCGGATCACAGAATCTTTGTAATGATTTAGCAATCGGATGATTATCCCATGATCCCTTCTTATTCCAATACAGAATCAAACAACACATCAGTAGAGGAAATAAAAGTGAAAACACGAGAAATGTGTGCATCCAAATATTAGTGACAAGCAACACATCGATCTTATCTGTCAATAGGAGTAAAAATAAAATATATCCTGAAAATCAAAACAACAAAACATTTCATTATAAATTTTAATAATTCATAATCACAACATTTTTAAATTAAAAAAAAAAAATCTACCTAAGGGCAATATAGAGTGAACAATCAAAGTGACACAACTTCTTCTTATTTGATAGAAGATGAAGTTTTCAAATTCACATTTCAAAAACCACTCAAATATTCCTTCGACTGTTATTCCTAACGATATGAATTCACGAGTAGGAAAAATAAAGAATATACAGAATGTGAGATAGAACAGTGTATAAAGAGAAGTAGGAGAGATCACATTATTTGGATCTAATGGTATATTAGCCATTTTACAATTGGAAACTTCTTGAAGATAATGTTGTTGTTTTGTTTTTTTTTAATATTGAAGAATTAAAACTTATACGATTAAATTTTGATAAGATAATAAAATATACGTTTTTTGACCCTTGAATTGGTCATTCTGACAACTGAGATACACAACATAACCTCCCGCTCAGTGTTGCATGAGTTATTTAGTTAGAACAATAGGTGATTATGAATTATAAAAGTTTTGAATACAATTACAATGTTTTATGATTATTTAAAGAAAAACTAGCATTTTATAGATGGGTCTTCTTTAAGCAATTCTTTTTTTAAATAGAAATATATCTTCCTCATAAATGTTATTTTTAGTTTCCTTATAAACGAATATTTTTAGATAGTCTCTATCCTTTTTCCTTCTATTATTTTATCAATACTATAATTAATAATCCTATATATATTATTTCTAAAAGGTGTGTTTTTGTCGGTACGCCATAATTTCGTCAATTCTTCATCAAATCCAATGATTGACCACTCATTTTGAAGATATTCTTCTCTTTCACATGCGAAAAATAGTCTTATCCCCCCGAAATGTCTGGAGAAAAAGTTATGGAGGAAAAGAAACTTTATTTGCGAATAACTCAAAAAGTATGCATTTTTTTTTTCTGGATTGTAACCATGATTATTAGAAAGATTACTAAATTACCTACAAAACAAAAAAAAAATCTGGTGCGCGCAACACACAACTTTCACCTACCGATCTACTTAGAATATAAATTATTTTCTGGCAATGCTGGGCTATTATAAAATTTTTTGAAGTGCATTTTAAACGGAGCTAAAGCTTAAAGCTTACAGATAACAAGTCATTAAGACAATTAAATTTACAAAATGTCTATTTAATATATCGACGACAGGCAATAAAAATCTATTCACTCAATCTGCTTTTATAAACCACAGAATGACTAACTTCAATTTCAACATTTTTGAGTGATGTCATTTTATTGATATTTTTAGTTGAAAAAGTTATCTACGCAGACAATGAGTAAGTTGATTCCAGAAGTGCTGATTGCAGTGTTGAAATATAGAACTGAGAATAAAAGTATAAATTTAGGTACTTATTTCTTATGAAAGATGTTCTTAGGAAAGACACTTTATTAAATATCTGTAGAAAAAAGGTGTTTTTAGTCTCAACAATTATAAAAGTATATTTTAAATTTAATCAAATTTTCGCCTCATCAGGGAAAAAAACTAGACCATATCTTTTCTCCTAATTGTCCGATTTTAACTCTTTTATTATTAACCGATTTATGGAAATTCCATAAACCACTTAATTATACAATGATACACCGAGTTTGATCAAAATCGTTAGAGTCGTTTTTCTTATAAAGTGTCACTTCCGGTTAGCTGATTTTAACGAAAAAGTTGCTGTCAGTCACATCCGGCCTATATACAAACCCTTAATACTTAATATCAGTTTCGTAATACTTTTCGTTTATGAGCTAGACTGCTAACACACAGACCATTTTGCGACACTTGGTTATTTGAACTCAGGGGACCTCAAAACATGTATTTCTGTTGAAAACTGAGATTCGAAAATTTTCACGATCGCAATAATTACCCTTACTATATATTACATATATACGTGAGTGAAAGTACTAATCGGACAATTATTAACTAAGATACAGTCCATTAGTTTTGGTATACTCAATAATGTCTTCCTGTTTAAAGATATTGCATTTAAGAGTTGAATAGTCTACTACATTTTTTCCCCTGGCTGATATATTAACTTTATTATTTCTTAAAGACATTTGGTTGTTCTTACATTTTATTTATTTTTTAATAATTTAGAATATCCTATGATCGGGACATTATGTTGTCTTTATTACTTTTATTATCTTTCCAGTCAGCTTTTAAAAATAGGTCCTAGCAAAGTAATTTGTAGAAATATTTTGGTCTATTATGTTTAATGGAATATTGTAATCGACTAAGGAAAAAATATTAATTCCTTCCTTACATAATACAAAGGATTTACTTCTTTACATATTGTTTTGCTATTTCTTCACTGAACAAAATTTTCTGCGATTTTTTCGCACGGGCCAACTAGTATATGATATTATTTATAATATAATATAATTATAATTGATAACTTTTTTTAGTTTATATTCTTCAGACCTTCCTTCATTAATTATTTTCTCCTCACTTTACGCCTATAAGTCTAATTTAATAAATAACCACTCTAAATTTATAGTGTTATTCTTTTTTATTTTATATGTTTTTCTTTTCTATTTTTAATTGTATTTTATTTACGTTTCGGGGATACCTTGTCACTCTCTTCAATATATAAGTAGTCCAACTGCTGAGTTAGTCTTAGGGTAAACTAGGCCATGTATGTAAGGTATAAGTACATCCAACAAATATAAGAAAATGGGATAAAATAGTGTAATCGCATGCGTATCCCCTATCTCGCCGTTCGTGACATGGGGGAGAGTGGAAAGGTCTACATTAATTCCGTGGATTCGCCACGAAATAAATTTTTACCCGCCCAGGCCGGATCAGAACTGCCACGGATACACTCCCAGAGTTAACGAATCGGAGACAGTGGAGACTTTATAAATAATGGGTTTATTCATAATGTTACAAATGGCATCTAAAATATTATATAAGTAATATAATATGGATATATGAGTTGACTGCATCAGTTCACTCCAGGTCTCCTACAGTGAAGAGTCTGACTCAAGAATGTAACTGAATAAGCGATTTTGGTGTGAGGATCATAAGGTTATATGCTCAGGGATAGTAGGGGGAATGAATCAATTCTGGACGGTATAGGAAGCGTGTGAATGAAGTTTTATCTATTAAGAATTGATATCCTTATACTTTAGAATTGATAAGAAGTCTGTGAGAAAGTGCTCTTTTGCTGAAAAGGGTTATTGTTCCCTAAGTCTTGATAAGTGTCTTCTGTCCTGTCGGTACATTCTATATAACTATTTCTAAGCTATCAGAGATAGCTTGACCTGGCTATCTAGGGCTTTGATAAAGGCCATGAGAAAGGCAAATGAATGATTTAAATTATTAAATTAAATAATAGTTAATATTAATAATTGTTACGGATTAAGTCCATTCCTTAAATCAGGATGTTCAAGTGAGCAAAGCTCAAACACGCTCGTCCGTCAGGTTCCCAATTTTGACCGTATGTCATCTACTGCTTTTCTACGAAACTACTGGGCTGATTGTTTTTAGATTTGGAATTAAAATCAAAGGTCACCCGAGGATAATCCTCTCAACTTGATATTAACAAACATCCGGTGTTCGAAAAATCTGTCTCTCTGTAGACTTTACGATTTTAATGAAGCACGGCTAAATTATTTTCCTTCAAGCCCTTTAATTTTATATATAAGATATTTCCCAGGAAAGAAACTAGAAAAAAAGTTATGATGAATGCAGAATTTTTGCAGCAAATAACTCTAAATGCACAAATTGAACAATTATGTGTATACTTATTTGAAAGATAATGAAATTAATGAAAAAATAACACCGAAATCGGACAACTTTGTTCAAAGAAATGACGTTTTGAAATTTTATAACATGAAATCAAAATATCAACAGAAGCTATAGATCGATTCACAATTTTTTTTTTACAAATGAAAAAAAAAATCATAATGAGACAATATCGAATTTAATTTTTCCTTAAAGTTGTAAGGAATGTGAGAGGAGGATATTCAATAAAGAAGAGAGGGGCGAGAATGTCATTTCGACCCTTCCCCCCCACCAATATTTCGAAGAATAAAAATAAAATCAATAACAAATAATCTATATGAATGAATGAAATATGTAAACTAAAAATAATTAAGGAAAAGTCGGCTAAGCACTACCTAAAAGTAGATACGCGAGTATTTTACAACGTCCTATATTCCTATTATTTAAATTTATGTTTGTATTCAAATTATAATAATATGTAGCAACATATCCTAGGATTTTATGATTCATTTATGTGCACTCTTCCATTTTTACTTGAAGATTTTATTACATTTCCGCGGCAAATTTGTATTTTTTTTCTTACTATAATTTCATTTTATTTATATACGCAGGCATTTTCTCTGTATTTATAATTTGTTCTAAAGGGACACCAGTCCGAGGATAATAAAAAATATTTTCATTTCATTTCAAATTTTAAGCATCGGAGAATTGTGAGTTCATCTTACTGACTTAAACCTCTAAATAAAGATATACATTTGTAATATATTCAATTGTTTTGTTATTATATTTTCAAATAAATATAAGTAAAAGAAAAAAAAACCCTAATAGGTGAAAACATTCATAAATTTAGTTTTATATTGTTCGGTTTACAATAATTATATTACTTATCATTCATAATTATATACACAATATAAACTTCCGAGACTTTTTAGGGAGTAAAGGGTCCAAAGTCTCCCAAACCAAACTGGTAAGTCTGCACCTATGGGTGCTTCTATAATAATATTTAGAGTCCTTGGTATATAGGGGTTACATAGCGCAAGTTGAGCCATCAAAATTTTTGAAGGAGGCATATTTTGACGGATTTTTGAATTTTTGAGGGGAGGGGCGAATTTCTACGGGGTTATGAATTTTCAGATTAAAGGAAAAGGGGAAGCTACGAAACTGAGTGCAGCAAGTATAATTGTATTGTATTTATTTAGTTTTACTTTACCATGCACTGTTTCTAAGATAAGGTGAACAATAAAATATCTTGAAGGATGTGCACCCCTGATGGTACAATCTTTTTATCAAATTATTGAGTTGGCAAATAAGTCCTTTCGGTATTTCTGTTTATTTTTATGTCACTATGATAAACTTCTTATCTGATGAATTAATCCCTAAGGTGGATTGTTTATCCTGTTTGTAAAATGTCAACAACTATATCTGTTAACTCTTGTTGAAACTAGCTTAGTATTGTGTTTGCTATTGCACTGTGAATATGGAAGAAAATATCATTCATTATCGGCATATTTTATTGCATTATTTTTAAAAAGGTGAGCGTGCTGCAGAAGCTCATAGAAAAATATGCAGTGTTTATGGAGATGATGCCTTAATCGAACGCAGGTGTCAAAATTGGTTTGCCAAATTATATTCGGGAAATTTTTGCATCAATTAAGGCCATTGTTGATCAAAATCCTACCCAATCAGTGCAAGAGATTACTATGGGCCTATGGAAAAACTATTTGCACAAACTCGGCTGTGTTTCCAGGCTTAATGTTTGAGTCCCTCACTTAATTTTTTTTTTTTTTCGAAAATCACAAAAAATATTACAATTTTAATACAAAGTTAGCTATCTATAAGAAATTCAGGTCCACATAAACTACACAAAATGAAATCAACAAGATCTTCGTAAACAAACTACAAATGGAGATAAAAATAAAAACCTATAAGTAGTTTCATTTTTTTTTCATATTTGCCAAATTAAAATTAAAATTATTTATATATTTTAATTTTTTTATTTATTTGACCGCACCCTCGACTAAGTCCTTCTCATATAAGTAGTTTCGTTTATTTGTTCCTTATGTCAAAATAAAAAATCCATCAATCAAAAAACCATTCATACGGCTTTGAAGTACAATAATTCAGCTTTCCAACGGATATAATAAAATCGAATTTGGAGAACATCTTAGTTAGAAGAGTTATGAATGACCGGAAGGGTGTCGTGTTTCACCAAGACTACGCTAGGCCCCATACCGCATTGGTCACTCGTAATAAATTATTGACCCTTGGATGGCACCTTTTGTCCCACACTCCCTATTCACGAGACCTAGCTCCAAGTGACTACCACTTATTCTGGTCTCTGCAGAACTCAATGAATGGAAAGAAATTCCAAAAGGAAGAGGACATCAAAAACCACTTGGATCAGTTTTTTAACAATAAACTCCAGACATTCTATGAACATGGCTTTATGCAGTTAGTGGAAAGATGGGAAAAAGTCATATTAAATAACGGTCAGTATAATTGTAGATTAAAATAAATTTTATCTCTATAATACATTGATTTTTATTCACACTGAAAAACCGAAAAGATTTATTTGCCAACCCAATATTAACATCCGCCTAAAACTTCGTGAAAGGCTTCATCTTGTCATAACCTGCGAATATTTTATCCACGAAAATTCACAGAAATGTAGCGTTCTCTAATTAAATTAATTATGTGCTAAATACTCACAAATACCCATTTTTATCGTAAGGTAATTTGATTACAAAATCGAGACAAGTGGCCTACAAAAATATTGGACCGATTAGCTAAATATAATCTGGTTATTTTGTAATTTGGGGGAGGAGGTGACGCCAAAGGGCTCAGTATTTTCGTAGACCAACTTTTTCACGATTTTGTGATCAAATTATCTAATGATTCATGCGTTTTTAATGCATGATTAAAAATACAAAGATTGCTTATCTCCAAATTCAAAAATTCCGAGAATTTTCATAAATAAAATAAGTTGTAGGTTATGATGAGATGAAGCTATTCAGGAAGTTAATTTGATAAAATGGGGTATGTAGTACCATGGACTATTAGTTTCAATATTTCACTCATCTGGTGGAACAAATATATAACAATAATTAAAATAATAGGAAAAATTACTCAATTTTTACATGAAATCACATATTTTTTTTATTTAATTGTGATTTCGCCTCTATCCTCATTGGTCATTGGTGCTGTGCTGTTTGTTTTTTCTTTTTTTTGATATTTTTTGGTATATACCTCTAATTTTCAAAAAAATTCATACTTTTTTTTTATTATCTTCTCTCTCTCTTAGATATTTCCTGGTAATTCCATAAATGTTCCTGTGCTTTTGTAGTTAATGCAATCCACTAGGGATTCCGGATTTAAATTTGGTATTTCTTTAGCCAGAAACCTTTCATATATATATAAAAGGATAAGTAATTTTTTAAAAAAAGGAAGAAATTAACTAACTGTATGAAATGGAGTTTAATTGATTCTTTAAGTTCTATTAAATGTAATTACACGAACAATAATACTTTAAGATAGTTTTTAATATTTTTTTTCTATAAAACAGTTATATTTTACCATATTAGGGGGAGGGGGCTTCAGCCCGAAATCCCCCTCCCTGTAGATCCTTTTGTGATACAATCTACTAACAAGTGTTTCACTGTCATTATAACTGAGTACTTGTTGCAAATGGGTGGGTCTAGTTTTTACTAATATCATACAATGATATTGATTTGATTAGTCTTTCTGAAAATTATTAATTATTATTATAATTAAGAGACAAAACATTTATTTAAAATTTTACAGTTCTAATGTTATTTCCACTGGATAAGAAATTTAATATTTAAGGTCAAAATTGTCAATTTGGTGAATAGACGTAATGAAAATAGTTAAATTATTTTTATTAATAATATAATTAAAATTAAAGTCAATCAATGAGCAATTGGTCCCGGGTGTGGAAAAATAAATACTATTAACTAAAATAGTATTTTATTGATTACACAGATGTTTCGACCCACTTTCTATGTCTTCATTGTAGGTCTAAACCATTATAAAATCAATCAAAGTTAAGATTTGATTGATGAGTAGAATTCATGAGAGTACTATGAATTTTTTTAGTCCTTAGCCAGGATCTTATTTAATTTTTAACTAATATTTCTTCCAAACTTACAGGCATTTGAGGCATGACAACAGCTGACCAGATGGATGGCATATCTGCTATTCTAGATTAGTGGAAGTGAAGAAGTAGCAAATGACCCAATTATAGAGAATGTACTATATAGTTTTGAATTTTAAAAATTTTATTCTTCGTTTTCAAATTTCTCTTCTCTGATTCATAACTCTTGTTAAATTAGAAACACAGTATGCTGTTGAAAATTTGATGTTTTTAATTCTTTGTGTTTAGATTATGTTATTGTATCGATTAAAACAAAAACAAAAAAAAAAAAAATAAACAGTTAAATAAAGAGTATTTATTTTACAAAATAAATATACACATTACAAATAATATACATATATAAATTAAAATATCAAGTGCTCTTGTTGTTTTTTATGAGGGTTCCCCAATCGGGAGTCACAAGAATCTTTGTAGTCAGATTACCAATATGGATAATATTACCAGTCTTTTCAGTTGAGTTTAAGTCGACGGAAACAAGTTCCTGTGTGAAAAATAAGCAATAAAATTAGAAATAAAAAAACAAAAAACAAAAACAATATTAATATAAATGAATATTAATTTGAAATACCTTTTGGTAGGCCACCTGCGTGCCTGACTCAAACATAAGTTTTACATCCCCCAACAGGAGACGGGCTCTTCCTGATCGCAGGATTTGAAGGGTACCGATTTGACCAGGAGGTAGGCTTCGCAGGGAACACCGTTCTACTTCCTGAAAATTAATATTTAAAAGGTCTATATTTAAATAAATATAATTAAATATTTAAAAAGGTCTGAAAAATATAATATACACAGTGATATAGATGGAGACGAAGGAAAAATAAAATTATATAATTACAGTTGGGAGTATTTTTTTTTTTTTGGTGACAATTTGCAATTATAATACTGATGTAATTGAAATTAAAGCTGCATTCAAATATGCGCTTGAATTTATATACTTACTATTATAAAATATAAGATAAAACTATATATATTAATTAAAAACGCACTATCAGTTGGATGTAAAAGCAACACATCCTGTTCAAAATATTTTAAGACACTGTTTCAATGTTAAAAAATTTCAAATATCAAACGCTGCAATGCATTGCAATTGTGCTATATCGCCTACCAAAGCATTTGTTTCGTATGCATTAGAGCTGCCTTCCACCTCCTTCAAAAGATTTCGCATAACACTCCTTAAGATATTTGATTGCCCGCTTTTTCTTAACAACTTGATTAAATATGGAGTTATAAAAACTGTAGTGGAAAAATAAACCTTACTCGTAAAAGAAATCTTACAGCGAATGGCACAGCCTTATTCAAATGTAATGTTAAAGAAAATAATTACGGGTTGATGGTTGACTGTAGTGAATAATTGAAGAGAAGGATGGTTGGGATGATCAGTCAAAATAAAAAAAAAGCAAAAATAAATAATAATATTTACTTTTACATGTAAAAATAAATATTATTTATTTTTGCTATTTTTGACTGATCATCCCAATCATCCTTATCTTCAGTTAAAGAAAACAATTAACTAAACTAAAATTGATGAAAAACTGATTTCTAAAAGGAATCGAGAACGTAAACGGTGATTATTATTACTCAAGGGTTCAACATTTTTAAATAATAGCATATCAAATATTTGAGATGTATCATACTCCTTCCCGAATACATTGGGGGAAAATATAAATTTAAATTTAAAGAGGTTATAATAGTATTGACCTACATAAAGAGAATCATATCACTTCTTCCAATGATAATCTCAATTACTTCAGTAATTATTAAATTTTCGATTAATCAATAACCAAAAAAAAGGGGGAGGGAAATGGCCTTTTTCGAAAAAACAGTAGTAAATGTTTAAAACACTATATCCCTGCAACGAATCGTCCAATTTTGATTTTTAAAATTTTTACTTTGTAGGGAATTCAGGAAGCTTTCAAATAAATATGGGAATTATCAATAAAAAAATAGTGTATTTTTTTAGTTATTGGCAAATAAAATTTTGAATTCATTGTAACATTTTTTGCATCTTGTTTTCGGGAATGTGTATGTTATACACATAAATTAAAAGGGTTTCAAGAGAAAGACTTTAGCCAAGTTTCGTTAAAATCGTTCCAACCCTTTTGACGTGACAGTCTATAGCGATATTTTTTTTACACATATATAATTATCGTAGGACGGATGTACTATGCCAGAAACCTCCACGAGAGTATACGCAACAACTTCCCAAAGTTTCATAGCGTTCGGATGAATGGTTTAGTAATGCATAAAGGACAAACGGACATACATTAATTTTTATAAATATAGAAAATTAAAAAAAAACTATAATTTGTGCATGTTATGTACACAATTTTCCACCTTTTGGGTTTTTCACTACACGAAAATCTGGTCTCTAGTGATAAGCAATACATTAAACTTTAATTGTTGCTATTAAAGCCCCTTCTTTAAAACATTAATCAAGGAACAAAATATTGATATTTTGATGTTTTATCCGAAACGGTTCTAATTTAAAAAGTTATTGGTTGTACTCCTGATACCTGCCAAAATAACTATTTGAGTCGCCTGAACTGCCTCAAATTCAAAAAAATTGTTTTTATTTTTTCCCTGTATGTATTAAAGAGGACAATAATTTGTAATTACTAAGCTCTAATTTAAAACATTACCTCTTCTTCTTCTTCTTTTTGAGACTTTTTGTTAGGCTTGGCCATTTCAGGAACTTTTAACCTTGGAATGCTGTTGGGGATCTGCCGACATAAAATAATATTTAATAATAATATAAAATAATATTGAAGGAAGGAAGTTAGACAACTGTTCTACATATCATAGGTTTTTATTGGTGCCGATATTTCAGCATAATCATTTGGGTAGGGCTAAAAAATTGTTTAATACAATCAGAGATATTGCCTGCACAAGTGAAAATGATCTGGATCTGGGATTTTAGAAAGGAGCGAGTAGAGGAAAGATATTTTAAAAATTGCGATGAAAAAGAGGTTGGTATGGAAGACGGGTGCTGGAGATGGTTCGTGATATTGTTGCATGTTTGGTTTCGGGAAATCATCTGTTCTTCATCATTAATGATTAAACTTGATTGTCAACAACGTCGAACGGACGATTTCCTGAACCCGAAACGTGCAACATTATCACGAACCATCTCAAGCACTCGCCTTCCATACCATTCCCTTTTTCATCACAATTTTTAAAACCTCTTTCCTTTACTCACTCCTTTCTAAAATTCCAGAAACAAATCATTGTCACTTGTGCAGACAATATCTCTGAATGTATTAAACAATTTTTCACCCCTGATGATGATCCACATGCTTGGGTTGAAACGTCGGCACCAATAAAAACCTTAAAAATTACTGTGACCTGACTATTTATTACCTATGATACAAAATAATATATCATATCACACATTAAAAAGCGAACAAAAGTAAGAATAATTAAAATGTTTACACTATTTATAAAGCAGAATCACTTCAGATACCTGAAAGATAGTGAAGTTATTGTCTTGCGCTTTATTATGAAGGATTTCAGCGACCGTGTAAGTGCGCAATTCAGAAATATCGACAGGTTTTTCATCTTTGTACACTTGGGGCTGAGGAACTGGCGGTTCCTCTTTTACTGAAACATTGAATTTAAATAATAGTTATAATTTAAATGAGTAAACAAGTATTAAATTTTACTATGTAAAATGTGCGATAGGTACTAAACAACTTTCATTTACCACCCTCTTCTTGGCAGAAATAAGTATTTTCAGATAAAGGAAAGTGAAAGTAAAAATTATAGATGGTATGAAACATAATTTAATACAATTATTTATTTGATTATAATAAATAATAAAATGTCATGAAATGACAAGAATGCCAATGATATAGAAGGCAACTATACTTGATTATATTTCATCGTGGGTATTTATAGTTATTTAAGTACCGGTATATATATAGAAATTTTAATTTTTATACCGCAGTATTCTATACAATTAAAGATTAAATAATACAAACGATAGCATTTTTGAAAACCATAAATGTATATAATATTGTCGGAGTCCGTATTATATTAAGTTCATGTTACCTATGGAAAACTGTTCTAATCTTTGGGACATAATCGTATTTCTTTGGTCCCTCTATTACAACTATTCTCCATTACAATCTCTTATTTTTTAAAAATTATTTATCAAACTCTTTCATATTTAACTATTTTTTATATGAGATTCAATGTGAAATGATTAATTATTTCAAATAAAAAAAATTAAAGGTACTTTAAAGGAAGAAATATTGAAAATTATCTATTTAAGCATTGTTTATTCAATGAGAATAAAATCAACAGTGTAATAGGTGCCCCGAGATATTCCCAAGTGTCTCACCACTACACTGAGTTAAAGTGGCTCTTCCCCTCCATTCGAAGACAATATTTCCTAGGTACGTTCCTCTATCAAATCATCAACAATCATTGTCCTTCTTACGCCTAAAACCTTGTCCAATTCAAGTCCTCAGTCTACTCCCTTTTCACAAGATCTCGACCTTCCGAACTTTACATTCCTTCTCACAGATCTGCCTCGTTCCAAAACTCGTTTATTGCTCGCACTGTTAATTTCTGGAATTCCCTTCCTATCAAAATTCGGCATTCTCCCTCCCTATCTACATTTAAAACCCTCCTATTCCAATATCTATCCCAAAAACAGTCAGACACCCCCCGCTAACCTTCTATGTAAATTTACATATTATTCAAAATGATTCACATAATGATATAATTACATATAATTCATCATTTAAATACTTACTATCAGATTCGTCTTCTTTTTTTTTTTATGCAGAAACACAGAATTTATTGCTAAGAAGAATGTAATGTATTTTTTATTTATTTTTTTTTTAAAGTGTATACTTGTATTTTATCACTGTACATAGTTTTAAGTGTCATGGCATGGTTTCAAGTGTTTTTGTATATTTATTTTGTACATAGTATGTTTAACTAATATTTTCTTTACTTTTTTTTTTTTCTTTATTTTTACTTTTTGTTTGTATTTACTTAGGCCAGATATAATACTTAATTTTGTACTTTTTTGTTATTCTAAAGGGATTTCGTCCCAGAATAAAATTATTTTCTATTCTATTCTATATTAAAAACTGCTTAATTTTACACAGATATAATGAATTCAATTAAAATTGTTATGCCATTTTTGAGAAAATCATAAAAATGTGTAAAATCAATAATATAAAGTGCCACTTCCCGTTAGCCGATTTTGACGAAAAAGTTGCTGTAACATCCAAGGCATATGCAATATCACTTTCATATGATTTTTGGTTTTTGAGCTAGACTGTTAACACACACACAAAAACCATTTTGTGAGACTTGGTTATTTGTACTCAGGAGACCTAAAAACGTGTATTTCCATTGAAACTTGGATTCTAAAATTTTCACGATCTCAATAATTTCCCTTACTTATTTTTCATATTTAGGAAATTGAAAGTAAAAAAAAATCAACATATAAAAATCCGAACTCAATTCATAAGGAATGTGAAAAAGAGAAAATAAAATAAAAATAAACAATAACAATGCAGAACGATGTCCGTCCAGGGTGAGGTTGATCTTTTAACATCAAAATTCTAGAAACAAAAACAAGCAAACCGATTCTGATACTGGTATTTGTTTAAGCACTCATCACCATAAAAAGCATACAATTTTTGATCAGCCTATGCTGTATTTTTCCATTTTCGAAAGTAAAACTGCCAAATATGATGAAAATGACTTTCTGAAAACTGATTTTTTTTAATAAGTACTTACGCCGAACAAAATTTACTTGAACTGTTTTCTCAGCCTTTAACTGAGGGATTTCTTCGTTCGGTCCCTTAACTTTTGATAATAGACAATATTTAACAAATATAAAAATGATGTTACGTCAAGGTATCTTTCTAATATATAAACATGCAATAATTAAACATTGAATAATAATAAATATACAATAACTGTATATTATATATAATACTCGTACAATAACTGTTCATGCAGCAAGATGTAACTAATAACACTTTCAATAATAAAAATGCACATATAAAAAACCTGATCAGACATAATAATAAAAGAGAATATTAATACTGTTATTTCAACTTTGACAAATTTATCATTTTGTAGTCAATGCTACACAAAGCGAACATTTTAATATAAATAAACAAATCTTATTTTTATATTGATAAGTAATTAACTTAACTTCATAACTTGTGTTCACAATGGATAATGGATTATAGGAGATAAATAATCATGAAGCAGTCATTTTTGAGATCCTTTATTGTTGCCAACTTTCCAACCCAAACATGTCCTGATTATGGCCCACATGTTTGGGTTGAAACGTTGACAATAATAAAAAACCTCAAAAATTACTGCTTCATGATTATATATCTCCTGTGGTACAGTCGACTAACTTCCTTCGATAATGGATTATTTAAATCTTAAAATCAAAATGATATAAATTAATTCATTGTATGGGTAGCTAACATAAAAATGACAACCTCACTATTATTTACCTGTTGCTATTATAATTTAAAATGTATAAATTAAATGCTTCAGTTTAACAGCTTTCTTAAAAACACTACTTAAAATTAATAATAAGTTTAGGGCAATATTAATCATTTACAATACTTGTTTTTTTAAGGCAATAAAATAGCGTTGTTTTTTTTCGTGGAGGAAGAGCATAGAGAAATTTTGAAAAGTTACAATTACATTGTAGTTTCTTACATTCAAATTCACTTGAATTGTTAACTCTCCCAACATATTTACAAAATAAGCAATGTTTCAAAAGACTCAAGGCTATGTTAAAATCGAGCGTGGAAAAGGCAATACTTAGCACACAAATGATGTTGAATAAGTTTCTAGACTTTGTCATACTTGAGAGCTTTCACAATGTGGCTGTATGAGTGAATATAATTTAATGAAAAGATAAATTTTTTACCAAAATGTCGGTAAAAATAAATATAATTTATTTATTTTTACTTTTTTTTACTTAACACCCCAACCAATCTTCTCTTCAATTATTCACTATGGTCAACCATCAGTCCACAGTTATGAATTTATATTTTTCGTTGATAAAAATGAAGTTTCCAATGAAAATTTGATGTAATATACTTGAAAGCTTATCGAAATGAAGAAGAACTATACTAAAATAATATGAAGGTCTCATCTTTAGAACTGCAGCTGAATAGTGAATAAAACAATGTGCTCTTGTATCTCCGTTAAAAATTTGGATTAGAAAATTTTCAAGATTGCAATAATTTCCCTTACCTATATATTTCATACATAAATAGGTAACACTTACTAATGATACTACTTTACTCAAATAAAAACTAAACATGTAAAAATTCAAACTCAATTAATTAAGAAATGTGAAACTGAGAAAAGAACAAAAAAAAAAAAAAATAAACAATAACAAAGTAGAAAATAATTTTAATATTCCTATCAAGACTTTTACAGATGCAAGTGAATTTTACATGTTTGCGGAAGTTTGAACATGGAGTAGGTGGTGGAACAGGAGTTGTTTGAAGGAATTTGTGGACGAGGATAGATGTATGGAGTTAGGTAGAAAGTTCCAAAAGGAGGCAGCACGAATGATGAAGTTTTTGCTGAAGGAAGTAGTTTTACGGGAGAAGATATATAAATCTATAGGTTGTGATCTGGAATTGAGGGAGTGGATAAAGGAACATAAACTCCAGGATGTAGGGAGTGTTTTTGTACCTGAGGACTTGGAAAAGGAAAAGACCAAGGAGGAATTGATTCGGAAAGTAGGATAAAGCCACTTTGACTCGGTGTACCTGAATGAAACATGGGAGCACTTATATATTATATGATATAAAAGTGATAATCATAAGCAGAGTCAGCCCACCTTGATTTTTTTGAAGAATTTCATCGACTTTTTCGATGATTGGCCGGCCAAAGTGAACATTATCTTTATTAACATCAAACTTTCCGAAACAAAAATGAGCAAACCAATTCTGACAAGGTGTTCGCTTAAGCACTCATAACCATAAAAATCATACAATTTTTGCTGAGTCTGTACTGCGTTTTTTCCCTTTTCGTAAGTAAAACATCAAAATATGACAAAAATGATCTTCTGGAACTTCAATTTTTAAAGTGCAATAACTGTTGACCGAGTCAATAAATAACGTTATATATATATATATATATATATATATATATATGTTCTATGAACTGTGACCTTTCAAACACGCTATATGGAATGGCTTCATTGAATAAGGATTACAAGCAATAAGGACTTTTAAGTCACCTATTGGGATAAAATTACTTTTTCCTTAATCGAAGATTTTTACTGACAATGATTCAACTCAAGCATGTGAGCCATTATCAGTGCTGGTAATGTTCACAAGCTTGTCAATAAAAATCTTAAAAACTAACTGCATTCTATCTATCCCCCCCCATTTATAGAATCAGTATTTAAAACAATTATTGTATAATAATATAGTTAAAGCATATTATATAGATGAAGTTTATTGAATAAGTACTTACTCCGAACACCATTCACTTGAGCTGTTTCCTCAGGCTTCAACTTAGGGATGTCTTCTTTGGAATCCTTCACTTTTAAATCTTCCACTGCATCAAAATGTATGTGACTTAATAAATAATGGATTTATAAAAAAATACTTAACAATGAATAATGGACAATATTTTACAACGATAAAAATGATGATACATCAAAGGATCTATCTACTACATAAATATAAACTACTTAAATTAATTAAACATCGAATAATAATAAATATACTCATACAACAAAATATAACACTTTCAATAATAAAAAAACTGTAAAAACTAAAATTGATTAGATATAATAATAAAGACAGAATATTAATACCGTTATTTCAAATATAAAAAATTTATTATTTTATAGTCAATGCTACACAAAGCATAAATTTTAATATAAAAAAACAAATCTTAATTACATATTTACAAAATTGGCAATATTTAGCCTATGAATGTTGAATAGGTTTCTTGATTTTATCACCTCTGTTTATGTTTTCTATAAATTTCTGAGATTTATCAAAATACAACAGAAGAAATAATTATTATGTTTTTTTTTTTTATGAATAGAACAGTTGTTACATTTCGTATTGTTTGTACTGAAATGTTAATATATTTGTTTGATCAATTGACATCATTAATCATTAAAATATAATAATAAACCTTTTATAACATACTCTTTTTAAGAGGAAGATCCACAGGCGAATCATCCATATCAGGTAGAAAGCCAGGATCATCAATGAAATCATCCCTCATCAACTCCTTCATGATGAGGTCTTCCTCATTCTGATCAACTTTTATAGGTTCCTTAATAAAAATAAAATTATTTCAGACTAGAAACATAATTATAAATGATATAAACAATTAATTTTTATCCATATCGAAAATTTATGTACATTCAACTTTAACTTTGGCTTGAGTATACTTCCGCTACCACCACCGCCACCGCCACCTGAAGATTCTTGACTGTATCGTCCCCCTGATGAAAACCTTTTCATCTGTGGGGCAAGACCTTCGGAGAAAATTCCTTGCCCTTGCACAAAATTTTTCTTCTGGCGTTGGCGCTCTTCCCTTTTGTTTCTATCTCTTTTATCATTACTGTTTTCAGTAGATCCTTCGTGTGACCTATTAAAATATCACATAGAGAATGACAGCTCTGATTAGATGATTAAATAAAACAGCATTTTTTAAATAAAAATATAAAACTGAAATATGTACCTCATAAATGAAAGCTCAGTTGTGTCATATATAAAACATAATTAAGTTAAAACATCAACAGTCATACTTAAACATGGCAGGTAAGACAAGGTCTCACCGATCACACGACAGATGAAATTCAGAAAGTTTAGTTTGACAACTATGTTCACATGTATAAGATCCTTTATCACAACCTGAGATTAATCAAGATTTTTGGTTATAAGAATATTAGAACTGCAAGTAGGTTGTTATTAAGATTTCAACTTTAGATACTACTAAACTAAAGTTGCTCCATTTTGATAAGAGGGCCAAGTCCTCATGATTACAATAGAAATGGGATTCCGAGAACGTTCTCCCTAAATTTAGATGGTGATTAATGTCTTCTTCAAACTCCTAACTGATCATTGTCAGTTAAAATCCAGGCCTTAATTAGCTTTAATTAAACCGCAGCTTTTGACTTCAGTGCGCTCAAGGGTTAAATAAAACTTTCAATGGTTCCTTTTCAGTTGAGTTCAAATAAAGAAGATGGCTCAGTCATGTCCGTCTAATTTCAGACGCACTTGACTGTTCTCAGGATTCCATTTATATTTTGATCATAAGATCTTGTGCCTCCCATCAAAATAGAGCAACATTTGTCAAGTAGTAGATATATGATTATGGTAAAACTTCACCAATGTCACTCAAACATAGCAGCTGGACCGAGATTGCACTGTAGATTCAGAAAGTAATGACTGACAACCATATTCATAAGTATGACTCACTAAACATAGGGTTAATTGGGATTATTTGTTATTTAATTATTAGAGATTGTAAGTTTATTAGAACTTTAAGTAAAGGTTATTAAAATTGTTAACCGTTTAATTATATTTTGACTTGCACTCACTCAACAGAAAAAAACAAACCATCAACAGGTTCTTTTCAGTTGTGGTCAGATAGTGATCTTTGCCCTGCTGCCATGTAATCAAACCTGTGAAGTAGTGCCATGTTTTATCTTTAATAATAAAATGAGCTATTTTTATCGTAACAATGTTCTTATTAAGGGAACATGCAGTTTTCTACTTTAAGCTACATGACATTGAAAAGAATATATGAATTTTGAGAACATGAGACCAATTAATTTTCTTTTAAAAAGTGGACAATGGAGCTTTCACCTTTGAGATGAAGAACTGTAAACAGAGAACAATTAAAAAATCTATAGAGTATAAAATACCTAAAGTCAGCAGTATAAAACTAAATTTTAATGAGAATGATAGAACACTCATTTTTATTAAGTGTTTGTTAATAAAAAAAGTTAAAGTGGTATATTTATTTAAGATACATGGGTTCATCAAGAAAAATTAAAAAAAATATGGTGAAAATTGATACATTCAGTTAAATTTAATGAATTAAAAATCATCCTGGATACTAAAATATATAAACATAAGATATTTATAACACAAACTAAACCAAAAAATTAGGGAAAAAGTGGATGACAAAATATATTTATTGTTTTGACACCTTTCATTTGACAAGATTAGAGGAGAAAATCAAAGTAAAAGACATGATGTAATCCTTGACAAACACAAGTAACTTTTATATAAGATTTCTTCTGTAATTTTAAAGAAGGTTTACTAGGAAATCAAATGAAATTAAATTTTGTAAACATATCTATTGATGTATTGTGGTTTTAAAGATTGATCATAACATATTAACACAATGAACTTACTCATTTTGCTTCTTCCTTTGGACGTTTAAGTTAGGAACAAAGACCTTTTTAGTCCTTGATTCTGCCAAAGGATTAGAAAACTGGGAGAGCTTTAAATCTCTTGGTTGTTTAAATGATGGGAGTCTTTTAAACGCTGCCCCAGCTTCTGTCTTTACGGTCACTTTATCACCGGACATTTTAATAATAGCAGAAAATCTGTTTTAAAAGATAAGAAACCCTATCCCCTAAGATTTCACAGATCACAGCCCCATCGCCAATTTTAAAATATTAGCACCACGTTTGTGGCATACAACAAAGTAAATCGAATTGACATGTATTAAAATAATCGATATATCGAATGCAGATTTAATTTCTTTATATAAACAGCCTATGTTTTTACTTATTAGTCAATGTTTAATTAATTAATTTATAATGATAATTACAATAATTTTTTTAACTTTTCTGATTTTATTTAAGAATACAGACATTACATTTTTAGATATTTCAACTTTCACAAACTTGATACCAGATAGCTCTTTGGAGAGTGAAAGATTTAAACCATTTAAATGCCTGCCCAACTATTTATTTAAATTTCAACATAAAAATTAATTATTTTTTATAAACTTTTTTAAATTTTTATAAATGGATAACAATATGTTTACTTTAATTGCTACAGAGTAACTTTTTCATTGAATAAAATATAAGGGACATTTTCGAGTTTAACAAATTAAAGAATTAACTATATACTTTAATAAAATGCTCATAAGAAGACAGGGATATTTAAGTATATTCATGATATTCAAGTAGTGAATCGGTTCATTCTTATCACGAAGATAATTGTATGCGCTTTGAATACATTAAAACGGTAGAAAAAGATCCAGAAAATATAATGTACATCGATAAATCTATACAATTTTATTTTATTCTTGTTGTTTAATAAATATGGAATTTAAAAACCAACAATTTGATTGGATTTTTAGAAATCTATTATTAAACCGTCATATGGAATAAATAAATGGCTTCAGTACAAGTTAAAATTCAATGAAAAATGTAGTTTCTGCTCGTTTCGGCGTTTGCTCCCTATTTTTCCAAGAAAGTAGCAGAGAAGAATGGAATAGACATTAGTTCGTTAAGTGCTATTTGAAGTTATGGCACCAAAGAAAGGAAAAAAGAATAAGAAGGATAAAAAAGGAAAGGGAAAAGGAAAAAAAGGCAAAAAGAAGGGAGGAAAAACTGAAAAGGCGCCAGTAGTACGGAAAGGTCCGAAAAATGGGGAAGCGCTAATATATAAATATGCATTTGATAATGAACTGAGTTTTTTGCAAGGAATCGTAGAACTGGAGTTAACGATGGATACTTATGTTTTATTTAAAGTACCGCTACCACCGAAACCTCCCGAACCAGAGCCTCCTCCTAAAAGTAAGCGTGTAATTTTGTACTTAATTCCTGCATAATTGTTCTTTATTAATATTGTACTAGTAATATCTTTTGAACTTTCGACAGAGCAGAAGCCGAAAGGAAAAGAGAAAAAGGGCAAAGGCAAAAAAGGAAAAGGTAAAAAAGGTAAAGGCAAGAAAGGAAAGAAGAAAGCTAAAAAAGACGGCAATTACGATGGTTCAGACGAAAGTGAAAGTTCCGATGAAAGTGAAAACTCGGAGGAAAGCAATGTTATGGATAAAAATAATGGGAAAGGTACAAGGGAGAAAATTCAACAAAAAGTGAAAAATTACTCTGTTACTAAGGAAGGTGATGACACTGATGAACGGGATAGCTCTGACGAAAGTGACTGTTCCGATGAGAGTGACAGTTCCGACCTAAGCGACAGCACAGATGAAAATGATGGTACTGATACAAATGATGCAAGTGATGGAAAAAAGGGGAAAAAAGGTAAGAAAGGAAAAAAAGGAAAGAAAGGGAAAAAAGGCAAGAAAGGAAAAAAGGAAAATAAAAAGAAGCCTCCGAAAGAAGAGATATTAACTGCAGGTATGTGGTGCCATGTGCAGGTATGTAATATATTTTACATAGATTATATTGGGATTATTGTAAACTAAGAGATGGGCCACAACACCTAGAAACAATTTTTCTCACATTTATGTGAAAGCTTTGTGAAGAATGCCTCTATGGGAGAAGATTTAGTATAGAGATAGTTTTTTGTAATCATGATACTGGATATTAAATAATCATCCTTACCTAAGGCATATTATAGTGTATGAGATGACTGAACAGACTGAGGCGCGTGAAATATCTATTTAAAGGTGAACAGGGTTCTATTGACATATATGGATATTGACTTAAAATTAATTACATGGATATTGCCTTTCTAAAATAGATTATTACTCTCCCATCCATAATCCTACTTTACGTCATTTTATCCTATTCCGATGCGTATTCTGCACATTCTATTGAATATTCTCTATCATTGCAATGTAGCATAGCCGCATCTGCGTGTGGGACATAGCTAACATGTTAGATTTCCTTGAATAGAGGAATGAGTTCACACGCTTGTTAACAATAATATACATAACAAACTATTTATTTTAAACTTTATCTACTATCTTATTGTATAAATCTTATTGCATAAAGGACGCTTGTAGTTGACTGATACTGTGGCTCTTTAGAATCAATTCAGATTGAACGATGGGTTTGACGTCCTATTTTTGCAAATATTGACACTCATTATTTTCTTCTATGACATTCTGAATTTAAAAAGTAGTTCTCAAAACCCCCTTTCAGCTCATAGAGATCAAGTTGAGGTTAATTTCAAAACATTGGGTTTCCATATCTAATTAGACTATAGTTTTGCTAATTCGTTCCTTTATTTCCTACTAGACGATTCTTACTGAAGAATGCTAAGGGGATGCCTTAATACATTCAAGCATCACGGACTCCACAGAACGATCTGATGCTATCCTTCAATGGTTGTTTATTACAACTATCGTATCAAGTTAAAATCATTCTGTTTGATATTAGACATATTTTCTACCCTTGTAGGATCTTAAGCATCCAATCAGTCGATCCAATATTTATATATCGTAGTAATAGATGGGGTAGTTTTATAAATAAAATAGTAATGATATTATTAATAAGTAATAATAATACTGTTACAGAGGATCCTGTAGACTATTTGCTAACGCGAAGTCTGGCAATGATGCAGATGGAACCCCATTCCAAAAACATAAATTACCTTACAGTAGATGTGCACAATATCGAAATGTAAGTAAATAATTACTTAAACGAAATGGGTTCAGCAACCTTATAAGTTTAAAATAGACAAGTTCTAAAACTCATCGTCAATTCTACTGATGGAATCAATCAGTCAATTGAATTCAGCACTGACGATGTTGACAGCGATTTATGCTGAGTTCAGGGACGACCTGTTGGATTCCAGGGAAGATTAACATTCCTGGAAGATTAAATTGCACGAGCAATAACAAAAAAAAAATCATGAAATACCTTCCTTCTGCATTGTTGAATATCAAAACATAAGTAAATATAAATAGAAAGTTGACTGAATATAAATGTGTAAAGTAAATTGAAAAATAACAACTCTTAGGGTATAATTAGGTTAAATCCAGCAAATCCATGGATCTCAATTGTTTATGTAACCAAATAGCCACCACTGATTCATTCTATGAATAAAGGAACGCACCGAATTCCATCGACTTTTGGGACGATCTGATGGATTTCTGACGTCATTAATAAGCTCAGTTTTTCGAAAATTGTCCAATGTTTAAGAAACCATTCACTGTCTCACTAAAGGATTCCAAAGAAAAAAGGCTAATGAAATGGTTTGGACGTTTATGTCCAAAGAATGAACATCGTGACCTACGAGAATTCATTAAGGCAAGACCCACAGGAAAGCGCCCAAGAGGAAGATTGTCTTGGGAGGACTACATCTCCAAGATCGGACAGAAAAAAGGTATACAATTAAAGGACATGAAGGAACAAGTCCCAGACCGAAAAACCCTAGATGCATGGATCGACACACGCTGAGGAAGAAGAGAAAGAAGATGCGCCCTTAATTGCTTACTTAATTGTCCAATATCGATACTTAACCATTAATATTTTATTAATTAATTAAGACAGCATTAATATTCATTAGGAACTTGTTACTTCCATTCTTCTGTATATGAATTATATAGTAAGAGGTCATGAAAAATTTATAATCAACTTTTCAACTAAATAGACATTTCGATATTCCCCAAATCCAAGTACCCTGAAACACATTAAATGTGTAAATGTGACCAAACTTGGGAACTAAAGAAACTTTGCTACTGAAATGTCGTATGTAGCTAGGCATATGGCTAAGGTCTAAGATACACAAGATTTTACTCCAAAATAGACTTACTTCTTTTATATAAATATTGATGATACATTTATATAACTGTACTTTGTCTCTATTTAATTTTTTTGGACAAGCACGATTTTATGGTTTACTGTCTAAATGGTCCAAGGATTGATGAAACGTTGGCCACCCTATTATTCACTTATCTATTTATAAATAATTATTTCACTATTTATAGCAAAAAAATATTTATGTTGATATGGAATTAAATATTTAATTTTTTATATTGGTTCATTCTTCTAATTGCTTTTAATTCGTTTCTTCACTGATATACTTATTTACATAATAAAATATATATCATATATGTCTAATCCCTTAAAAAAAAGAGTTTATAAAGGCTAAACATTTGAAAAGGTTACAAATTTTAATTTAAAAATAATTATCATATTCTGTCGCTAATATAATACTTATTTCAGATTTAATGGAACACCTTTCGCACTCAATACTTTACCCACTTTCTTGAAATGGGGAGAGGTATACAGGCTTGAAGGGGAAAAGGAATGCACCAACCTGGTCATGTTTGGTTTGTTGATGGATATCAAAAACAAATTCCTCACTAGCGACCATTTATTGGTAGGATTCAGACCACCACCACCCGAATTAAAACCGCCTGTTCCTCCGAAGAAGGCAGGTGGCAAGAAGAAGGGCAAAGGGAAGAAAAAGGGGAAAAAAGGAAAGGGAAAAGGCAAAGGAAAAGGAAAGGGAAAAGGCAAAGGAAAAGGAAAGGGAAAAGGAAAAAAGAAATGAGCAGAATCAAATAAAAAAATATTTATTTTAAATCTTGGTTGTTTATTTTTAATTTTAGAATTCCATTTGATTTGCTTACATTTGTTGAAAGAATCACTTTATTTTCATAAAAGGGTGTTGTCCAATTACATTGGGTTGCTACAGGCACACCATACTTATCAATTAATACAATGGACAATCCTTAAAAATAATATACAAATATACATCATTTTATATATCATCAAGATATTTATATATACCTTTATATCATCAAGATATATCAGTATAGTAAACAATGTTTCCTTCTTTTTTAATTAACATTCAATTTCTCTTTTTCCCCTTGTACATTCCGCTTATTTTTCTTCTCTGTTCCTAACCTAATTCATAATTTCTGATTACAAATTATACAATAATGACAATAAAAGAATGTGCAATCACATTGCAGTAGACTCATATTGTTGTAGACAAAAAAAAGTAGACTTATTGAATAAATGACATAAAAATGTTGCAATATATGCATGCTACCACATGAACAAACTCTCTCCCAATACGCTCCTCCTCTCCTCCTGGTAGTGGCTCAGAGACCTGTTGTAAGCACATATTGGAGTTATGGCAATGTCCAGATTCTCCACTCAAGCCATATCTGTGGGCCAGACACACCTACCGTAGGCTGATTTAAAATCTACAAAGAGGTGGTGAGTTTTGAGCTTATATTCCTTTCTCTTTTCCAGAATAGTCCTCAGACAGAATGTCTGGTCGATCGTTGATCTTCCTCGTTTGAACCCGCACTGGTACTGCCCAAGATCTCGCTCCGTAAATGGCAACAGTCTGTGGAACAGTATGTTTGATAAAATATAGTATGCGCACAGGAGCAGAGCAATACCGCGATAGTTTGAGCATTTTTACTAGGTTTCCCTTCTTGTGGATCGGGCATATGACTGTCTTTTCCAGTCTGTTGGATTATTTCCTCAGTCTATATGCTCTCATATAAGTTGTGAAGGAGCTTGAAGAGTTCATTACCTTCATGCTTGAGTAGGTCCATCAGTTCCTGGGGCCTTATTATTTTTTAGTTTGTTGAGGGCCTCGCCGACTTCGTCTTCATCAGGTGATTCCAGGTCATCCGTTCCATCCAGACCGAAAGGCGGCTCCGTCTCTTGGCTATCTATGCTTTGACCATTCAAAAGCTCCTTGAAATATTTTTTCCATTCTGCTAGGCAGGCTTGTTCTTCGGATAGGAGAGCTCATTGGTCATCCATACACATTGAAGGTATTTGTTTGAATGGTCTCTGAGTGCTATTAACTTTATGATAAAACTTCCTGCTGTCTCCAATGGTCCGTAATTCCTGCAGATCCTTCAACTCCTGGATAATTCTTTCTCTCTTCATTACCCGATGCAGCCGCTTTTCTTCCCTCCTTTCTTTCCTATAGTCTTCGGCTGTACCGCGTGTTGATCATCAGCTGCTATGCTGCATTTTTATCTTCTGTTTGAAAATTTGGTCTGTTGGAAAAGTTGGTCTGGTGAAGACTGTCGAATAGCTGACAGTCTTCACCAGACCAACTTTTCTAGTTTTCCTTTTCAAAATGCCCCAGTATGAGTTCAGCGGTTTTTTCGATAGTTTTGCGACAGCTACTTCAAATGGCGCCTACACTGTCTTCCGGGTCCTCCATGCATCTTAACTGTGAGCCAGTGCTGCGGTATTAGTCTCCCTAATCTGAGGGTCTTTAAGCTTGTCGATGTCAAACTTTTTGCTTTTTCCCGGATTCTGGGTGGGTCAACAGCAATTCTTGAAGCAACGTGGGCAATACTGAGGAAATGGTCAGAATCAATGTTAGCGCCTCTGAACACTCTGACATCAGTGATGATGCTAACGTGCCTGTTGCTTACGAGGATATGGCTAATCTAGAAGCAGCAAAGTTGATTAGTCGCCGGCCTTTGTTACTGCTCTCTTCATGCAAACTATATTTACCGATGGTTAGGACATAGATATACTCCCGACCGACTTTAGCATTAAAGTCTCAGGTAATAATTCTCATGTCGTGACGAAGTAGGGAGTCCAGCGTATTTTCGAGCAGGTCATAGAAATCATCCTTGTATTTATCATTAGTTTCTTCAGTTGGTGCATGTACACTAAGGATTGAGAAGTTATAAAACCTCCCGTGAACCCTTAGCACAGATATTCTTGGACTCACTGGCTTAAATCCGATAACTAATCTTCTGAATGATTTCCTTACGATGAATCCCGTCCCAAAGGTGTGTACCCGATCGTTGCACCTATAGAATACCGTGTGGTTTCTTTTCGCTAGCGTGCCATGGCCTATCCACCGGATCTCTTGGATGGCGGTTATGTTCAATTTATATCAATTTATTTCGTTCAAGAGCATATTGAGTGCTCCGGGTCTATACAATGAAAAAATATTTCAGTATCCAATATTAAACCTATGACGTTTGCCAGATCTTTTCTGTGAATCTTCATGAATTTCCGTGATTTTTGTTTGGGGTTTCTTGATGGCTGAGTTTTCGGGAGGTTGGGCTATCGACTCTACTACGTGTCCTAGTGTGCTGGTGGGGCTACCACCTTAGTACCTGGAGACCTGCACTCCCTCTGGAGCGGCTTCCTAGGGGAGGTGACCCTCGGGTGTGTACTTTAGGTGACTTTCGTCTGTACTGTATGGGTGTCAGTGTACTGTTCCCCCAACCTGGAGGACCATTGGCTATTTGCGGTACAATGATGATTTAAGAAATATTTTACCTTATTTTTTTTAATAATGGAGCTTATATTTTTTTTAAGACGATTTTCTGGCATTGGGAAGAAATTATTATAGTAACACGAGACCCACACTGTCTGATGTTTCAACATCCACAGAATTAAAATTAAAGCGGTCTGACTGATACGTATAGGGACTATCGTGTTTGAAGTGATTCTTGCCAGTCTCAAGATTGTCATTCCTGACTGACCGTGGAGGGTCCACTTAACTAGCGCTTAGCCAAAATTCCTTTTTAAACTTCTCTTAGAAGGAAAAGTACATGAAAACATAAAAAACAAGACACAAATAAACACTAGGATAGGGAAACAACCATTTAGGCATTTGTATTAACCATAACCAGGTATTAACCATAATTAGGTATTAACCATAGCTTGTGAAATGTCTAAAATGGGCTCAGCCAAGAAACAGAAACACAATAATTTAAATATTTGTATTTATCATTTTGAAATATATAAATGCATTTAGAACATATATTTTCCATGGAAACTCAATTTGTTTTAGAGTGTGTTAACAATAATCATGTGTTGATGCAAGGTAATATACAGGTACACGTTATCCCTCCCAGGGGATGAACGCTAAATCAATGGTGCAAGTAGGAAATAAATAAGCGTTTACACAAGAGAGGTTTACAGAAGGAGTTGATTTATGGAATATTAATAATCCATAAAAAAAAAAAAAATGGAGAACTTCATGATGTTGGCCATGTTGGATGGAAAGAAAGGTAAAGGCAAAAGAGATAAAAGAGGCAAAAGAGATAAAAGAGGTAAAAGGGACAAAAGAGGCAAAAGAGATAAACGAGGGGGAAAAAAGAAAGAGGCGCCCAAACCACCCCCACCGGTTATAGAAGAGAGGCCTCCAACACCTCCGACTATCGCGTACATCAACAAGTTCTCCTTTGAAAAAGAAAATGACTTCTTCGATTTTATGATTGAAAATAAACTCGATAAACCAACGTATGTTTTGTTCTGCTTCAAAGAAGCCGATTACGAAAAGAACATATTCGATGGTGAGTCTCGAAATATTATTCTGTGCAATGTAATATAACAATAGTAACCTAGTTCTGCCATAAATACTGTTACAAAAGTTGAACTTTGTTTACATCCTTGGGAATTATTTAGATAATTCTAACCTCTATCATTCTTTACATGTCAGGATAATAATCCCAATCAGTTTGTATTTTTATTTCACTCAGTTAACATGGAGTGGGATGATAAAGAAAACCGAATAGCTGTAACCGCCTTACACAAAGTTGGAAAATGTAGGTCAGAGATTTTCAACACCCTGAAACCTTTGGGTATCAGCCGTATGTTCGTGTACCGCACTATAAATAGATGTAGACAGACTTCGACCGGGCCGATGTCCTCGCACTGTAAAAACGGCAAATGCAGTGAGAGCAGTGGCTGCTCGAATCAGAATAAATCCCATTCAAAAACAACAAATTATGTCTCGGGAAATTGAAATCTCTGTCAGATCAATGTCTCGCATAATAAAAAGTAACCTTAGGATGGGTGCATTCAAAGAATGACAGGAAAAAGACTAACCACTTCCTTAAAAAAATTATAGTGGATAGAAAAAAAGTGCTCCTTGGCCGTTACACCAATGGTATTCATCGAAAGATTTTATATAGCGACGAGAAAACTTTTGCAATTAAAGAAAAATTTAATCGCAAAAATGATCGTATGTAAGCACGTAGCTCTAAAGAAGCCCAGGAAGTCATTGGAATGACTGCTGAGTCTTAAATATTACTAGAGTCATATTTATTTATTCAATAAATGATACATCAACATAATCATTGTTAAATTTTTTAGCTTGACCAGTGAGATATGATTTTAAAATTTTTACTCTCGGTACAGATAAGGTTATACAAAAGAAAAGTTGAAGATCCCGAATCTCAGATATATTTTATACATATTTGCAATGATAATTAGCGTTAAAGAGAAGTGTCGGGGATAGAGTTAGGTAACGAGATTCGAAAGATGGCTGCGTCATGACCTTTTGTTATGTTTTATTTTTTGTCTTGGTACAAGTTTTTTCTTAACACTAGACCTTATGATTTTTAAATATAGTAATTATCACAAATTACATTTATAACGTTATTACTTTAGTGATATTTTATACTAATACTCATGGAATTAACAGAAGATGAACTGGACGAAGTAGAGGAATACGATGAAAAAGAATATACTTGTATTTTAGAAGTGGAAGAATTAATAGAGTCATGCTTGCTCGGGATGGAACAACACCACTTATCAAAAGATATCTGTTTCATGGTTGTCCACATCACTCCT